TTCTGCCCGTTATGCGCTGTTTATTTAAACAGAGAAAACGATTACGGAAAGTTCAGCGTTTTACAGCAGCTCTAGTGAAATTCGTACAAATTTTTTAAACTTTATTTTCACACTTCATCAGAATGTCTCCCTATAAAATTGGTATTTTGTCTACAAGTCGCTAATGTTTGAGGGCTTATTGGTCCGAAGTTCTCTCAAGAGTCTAAAACAAAATCTTGTGCTTGTCAAGAATATTTAAATATAGCAAAGCAGCCCCAAAGTAAAAGGGAATATCGCTGACCACCTCCTTCCTAATCTTTACGCCTCCATCTCAGCTTTTCCTCTCTGTTGCTGCCCCACTCATCCCACTGTTCGAAAGGACAGTCTATAAATAGATATTAGGCAATATCCTTAAGAGTCTGCTCGGAGAAGAAGGGAAAGAAGGAGGGAGAGAGAGGGGAGCGATGGAGCGACATTCTTACAAACAGCTGATTGTGTAAAGAGGGAACAGTGAGTAAGACAACACCGGGGGAGGGAGAGGGAGAAAAGACGGGGAGGACGAAAGAGCAGGAGGACAAGCAGTGTTCAAATAAGTTCAACAGCGTGTGACGGAGAGATGGAGGTAGAAGGAGATGGGGAAATTGTTTTGAAAGCTGGGAAGTGACGAAGGAAAAAGAGGAGGATAAACAAAAAGAAAAGGATGGCAATAAAATGAGCGATAGCGTGACACAAGGGGGAAACATTTGTTGAAATTCCTGCCTGAGGTGTCATACGTAAATGTTGCGGTCTGCTCCTCGGAGGCAAAACGCTCTGGGCGCCTTATCTAAAAGGCACATTCCGCTCAACTATTTTGATATGCCCTTCCATCCCCTCAGAGAACAATTTCAAAGATAGCTCACATTTCCACGCAAATAGACCCCACACCTGAGTGACAGGCAGGCAGTTCTTAGCGCTCTTAAGGTGGTGGTGGATGCGGTGGTAGGGGGGGGGGGGAGGAATAACGAAAACACAAATGTCACGTTGGCTCCTGACGGCCTTTTGGAATTAGCCTCTGCACTTATTTTTACTGCAGATGATAGATCCAACTGACTGTGTGGTGGCTGAAATAATGGGTTGTAATTTAAAGCGAGGGTGCGAACGCGCACACGCACACTCATGCGTGCATATGCCGAAGCACAGACGCACACTTTACTGTGGAATTCTCCAGAGGAGGCTCCCACGCTCCCTGAAAGCTTGTTCTGAGTAGAGGAGTTAACAAGAGCAGTTAGCACCATGATTATGTTAGCAGCCAGACACACAGAGTGAAAGAGCCGGGTGTGTGTGTGTGTGTGTGTGCGATAGTCTGTGACATTTCTGTGATGGCTGCTTTTGTCTTTCTCTCGCTCTCCCTCAAAGCTTAAACAAATCTTTGTCCCCACTTTGCTTAATTCATTTGAAATGTGTCTGGATGCATTTCTGGGGGATGTTTGGCGTGTGAGAGCAACATCGATCGCGTGTTCATAAGCTCGCTGCCTGTATTTAAACACGCTTGCGTAAGCTTGCCGCCGCTGACGTGCCAACGTGAAATGGACGTGTTGATTACAGTAAGCGACGGCCAGGAGACAGTTAACCACCGCTGATGGCGATTATTCGGCCTGTTAATGGACGTCCGTCGCTGTCCGATTAGTGACTTAGCTGCGGTGGACATATGTGATATGAGGGACTTAGTTGAGGAGCCACTAATCATCAAAAAGCCAAAGGGAAGTGGCACTCTAATCTCAGCTTAGCACTCTCACTGTGTGGTGTTGTGTGTGTATGTGTTTTTTCTGTGAAAGAAATGAGAGTTTGGATGGAGGGGGGGACAAAAGATGACTTTTTAAAATTCTTTTTGCTTGAATTTGTAAATACGGAATAAAAGGGTCGTCATCTCATTCGAAATGTTAAAGAAACAGAGAAGGAGATGTTCCTTGGTGTTCTTTTCTTTTGTTTTGTTTTTTTAAAACAAAATTATGCTAATTTCCCTTAATTATTACCTAAGACAGCCTGGAAATTAATCACATTATCTCTTTAAATCCTCGCTGTTTAGACAGCTTCCTTTAGGTCTACCAGCATGACAGCCCTGCCAAACTTTTAAATGAAGTAGCCAGCGAAACCTGCACACCCGCTGTGCCCAATTGTATAGTAATTTGACTTCAAAGGCGAACAGACGGGGGAAAGAGGGACTTTATAGCCGGAGAGGAGCTGCGAATGGCCTCCCCATTCATAGACACCCACCTCTGAGGAAGTAGTAGCAGAGTTGCGGGAGAGGAGTGGGCAAATGAGAAGAGGAGAGAAGGAAATCCAGAGATTGAAGTCGCTCTCCCTGCTCCTTAGAGCTTTTGGATACCTGTGTTGCCTTCTGTGTTAATGTGTAACTGTTCTTGTCTATGGATTGCCCATATATCTAGATATGTTTCTGTGGCTACTGTGGTTAAATGACGGATAACAACGTTGTAAAAACCAAATTAAAATCCTCCCATGCTTTCAAAGATGTCTCTGTAACATAGCCAAAGTGTAACATTAGCGAGGTAAGAGCTCTCAAAACTGATCACAGGTGTGTGTGTGTTGGGTTATGGCTGGAGTAGAGGTGTGCAAAGGATACAAGGGGAGGTGTGTGTGTGTGAAACAAAAGGCCTTAGTGTGAAAGAGTGAAAGGAGGTAAAGTAAACAGGCGGTGATGAAGACAGACCTGCAGTGTTCTGCTCTGTTCTCTGTGTTGTGTGTGTGTGTGTGTGTGTGTGTGTGTGTGTGTGGTTTGTACAGCTGGGCCTGCCGCTTGCATTATACAGCGCGGCGGCACACGCGCACACGCACAGATATAGGTTTCCCCACAGTCCTTCCAACATGCATCATAAATGTTATCTCAAGTCAGTTTTAATATCAATTTACTTTAGTGCTCTCATTGTGCAGTTTTATTTCGAAACAATACACATTCTTCAGCTGTCATTTACAGCCTTAGTTTTTGCTGAGCAAGAGAGAGCGTCCAGGAGAAACCGATAAAGAAATCAGCTGCAGATACACCAGCCAGTTGATTTCGACAACTGTCTCTGTGTGTTTGGTTGCGTGTACTTTATACGGCGTCCTTCATGAAAGCACTTAGCCACCGTCAACATTATTGTAACTACTAGAACATGCTTCATCCAGTCTAACCTTGATTAAAGCTGCGAGAAAGTCACTGAAAAGAAACAATTGTAGCTGTACAGAACTTTCTGATTTAGTAGTAAAAGATATATATATATATCTGTAGTGGTGATTTAGCAATTTTCTGATTTAAGTTCAAATGAAGGGTCCATTCTAAGTGGATGAAATAGTCCGGAGCAGCGTTAAACAGCTCTGCAGAGCCCATTGAAACTCAAAAACGCGTGGAAGGAAAGTTCCATGATCCTGAAAACCCGGGGTTTTACATTTAAAAAAAAAGAGATCCTGTATACAAAATACACTCAGTATGAAAACAGAGAATACAAATTCCAATTTGTAAATCAGTTTAAATTATTAGATTATGTATATCTATGAATATTGCAAGCATCCTCCCAAATCAATTAAATGTAATTAAATTAGGTCACTATGGTGCAGGGGTTTTTCGGTTTCCTTTCTTTATCTTTATCGTTTCTTTTTCTTTCTTTTTTTTCTTTAATCTTTATACTTCAGTGGAGTTTATTTGATTTTGACCGTAACCTTCCTTCGATGTGATAAAGCCGCATGTTGCGTGTCCTAGCGTGGCGCTTTCCTCATCGCCTCCAGTGAGCTGCACTCAATATTGTTTGCCTTTCCACTGTCATAAGGTAAATAAGCAATGAATTAGCAGCAGGGCTGCTCCTAGGAAAAATGCCAGATGTACAGTCCAGAGGAAATCCAATAGAGTTGAGAGTGTAATCAGTTTACCAGAGACAGGCAGGGGAGAGAGGGGAAGAATTTGAGGGAGAAAGGCTGAAGAGGAAAACGGAGGAAATCACAGGAAGGCACGATATGGATGCCGGATAAAGAGAGTGAGCGGATGAGTGAAAAAAACCAGCTTGTTAAGTCAAAAGACGGAACAAATTAGCGGAGTTTGAAAGTCAGATGCCTGTTGCTTATTTCATCAGGATCAACCCTCCGCTAAAGTTTTCACAATCCCTCCATCCTTCCATCGCTGTCATGTGTTGCCTCTGTGCGACTGAGCGTTAGCAGCCTATTACCCAGGGTCATAGTCGCAGTGGCTTCAAGGCTGACAAGTGCATCTGAAAGCACTCAGGCGATGCTGAGAACCACATTAAATTCTATTATTGCCGCATAGTCACTGCATCCCTATTCAGCTGAAGTACAGGGAGGCAAATTTACCTTGTGAGAGACAGAGTTCACCTAATAGATGTGGCTTTATATCCTTTGCTTCCTTTCAAGGGAACAAAGGCAGAGTAACAAATGCAAACAGCGGGGGCTGTCGTGCTGCTACCTTTTTTCCTTCCCGTCACTCTATTGTCCAGAGGTTTTCATAAACACACATTATTGTCACTGTACATACTGCTCTCCCTCTCTGTCTCACACACTCTCTCTCGCTCTTTCACAATCTGTTTTTCTCTGTGAAAGCCCATTGTCAAGACATGGTCATTTCCTCCACAATGCCAGTCCAAGCGCGCTCCTTTTGCAGTAACGGCCCCGATGGTAAACATACTGTAAGACCCGAGAGTGTGTTTGAATGTCAGCCAAGAAGCTCGCTAAAGTCGATGTGAGGAGATGCACCGTTGTTGTCTTTATGAGGGCAAGGGTTTCCCCAGAAAACTTAAGATGGAGAAACGTTGCAGGTTGATCAGATGAATGTCTACCGGACAGATAGAAGAGGGGTAAACACTTAAAAGTTTGAACTACCCGGGAGTTTCTGAGAACTAGTTTGGAGCCTCCACACTTTTCATTGCTACCAACATATAAGTGGAGTTGTCAGCCTATTATATCATCTTTTGAGTGTTGCTCATTCTTCCTCCTGTTTTTCCTTCTCTCTCTTGTCTTTCTATCTCCTATTTATTTTCCAGGATGTCTTCCAAGCGACCAGCCTCTCCATATGGGGGGACAGATGGAGAGGTAACCATGGCAACCAGCAGACAGCGAGTGGAGGATGAGGAGAGTGAGGGACTGGGCGGTGTCATCCACCTCCCCCTGGCCTCCTACTGCAACAAGGTGTCCCCTCGCTCACCCCCCAACCGCAACTTGGACAGCCCGCCCAACATGGTAAATAATAACGGTTTTCAAATCAGTCTCACCCATCGTTTCTCACGCTCCGGGCACCCACCTGTGGGTGACGGTAGCTGATTTGGGGTTGCAGGTGAAACAGTTGTAGAGACATTTGGAGGAACTTTTGTGTCTGAACTCATCAGAAAAGTCTTCGTAGAGAAACTGCAAGAAAACTTTGTAAAAAATGACCGTTGGCAGGTCCTACATGCTTCCAGTTTCTAAAATATAAACAGATATAACCCAGAAAAAGGAGTTAAAATTGATCTTATGTTTACATGCCCAGAAGAAGAAGAATCCCAAAACTTGCATGGTTATCCCATACATAGATACAATGCAGACCCTACGTTCACAGATATGTTTAGTGTCAGCAAAGGTAGTTGAACACCACAGTGATTATGAGCAGCCAGCTGTTGAATATTTGTTTTTAAAGCCTTATTTATGAACTATTTTATTTAGAACTAGAGGCAGCATTAAGAGGCCACAGAGGTGACATCGTTGGTGGGGTCAGTGATGTTGTACGCCACCTGTGAGTTGGTGTCATCAGTAAACCGCATCGGAATGGTACTTAGCCATGTTAGCTAATCATGCAATTCTCACCAATACATGAAGGAAACTCTGTATGTTTGCTCTCTCATGTGCTTAAGACAGCGGTCTCCAACCTTTTTTGCACCACGGACCGGTTTATGCCCGACAATATTTTCACGGACAGGCCTTTAATGTGTCGCGGATAAATACAACAAAATAAAACTAGTACCGGTACCGAACAAAAGAAGATTTATTCATAACACACGTGAAAAGACCAAGGAAAACCAAGTTAACGATCAAAACGATAACAAAATAACGCTGAAAACCGATAAAAACCCTGAAAACCATACATTTCACACCTGAGCCTCAACTCTCGCGGCCCGGTAGCAAACGACCCACGGACCGGTACCGGTCCGAGGCCCGGGGGTTGGGGATCGCTGGCTTAAGACTATAGCTGGAGCCCAAAGAAGTGCAGTATCCATTAATGGTACTTGGAACTGCCATTTCACTGTTGGCGTAACAGACCTCATGATGTCAGTGTCCAGGCTGTTACGATTAGTCGTTAAAAAAAACTACGACTCTACCTTTAGTGAGGCTAACATTTGTGTGACTTTGGGACTGCATTGCCATAGGCCACAAAAAGGAAAACATTTTTTTAACCACAACCAACCACTTGGCATTGAAATGTGTCTAAGTTACCAGTGTAGACCTTCAGTTTTACAGACTGCAGGCTTGGTCATTGGCTTGGGCTTCATCTCTCTATCTCCATTGGCTTTCTGCCCTTCCAGTTCCTTCCTATAAGGCTGTCATCTGTGTGCGTTTGAGAGGCTTGAGGTTGAAAGGAACCCCAAGGCTCAGACCCCAGATCAGATTGTGGTCATGGTAGTTTCAACCTCTCGAATTAAGCGATTATTGAAAGCATAGCAGTTTTCTGTCTTTAAGACAGCCTGGGCTGAAAATGGAATTAGTACCTGTATGACAAAAATCTACAATCTTTGCTTGCAAAATGTTTCATTTTGCAGATGTATTCAGCTGGAAATTAACTTCCTCGACCTTGTGTATTTGTCATTTTAATTTCGTGAATTAAGCATTTCTTAACTAATTAGAATGGTTTTGCTTTTATGGGATTTCCAGTCATTTCTGGACAAGTAAACAGCTTTTTTTTCACATATTGAATGCATTAACAGTTTGGGTCTGCTTTAACTTTGGTATGTTGTTTACTCTTCTTATGGCAGCCAAACTATGAAAAGGTACATGTATCTCCACAACGATAAAAGAAAGCGAGGTTATTTGTTTGGTGACTGACGGTAGATGTGAAAAGAAACAGAAACCTAAAAAAACAAAAACAGAAATTGACTTTCTTTGCAAGTAGAAAGCAGGTTCTTTCTGGGAGCTGACTTTTTCTTTTTAAATATGAACATTTTTAGGTTCAAGGCTAAAATTTGGGTGCACGTGTGTTTGTGAGAGAGGTTTTTTTCCCTTTTTTTCCGCTTTTATGTGTGCGCCACCAGCCGTTGCCTTGAGCCCATTTGATGCACAGTTGCGTGACTGCTAAAATGTGAGCCGTTTGTGTGAGTCATTTTCTTGGGGATGAAGTGTGAGGCTGCTTGGTAGTGCTAAATGTATGGCGCTGTATTTGTAAATGTGTCTGTGTGTCAGTGTGCGTATATGTAAAGTTGCGTAATTCAAATTGAATATTGAGCTGTATTTTTGCTAGTTATGTTTGTGAGTATCAGACGTTTATTTATTTTTTAAACTTGCTGTGATATGTTGACACAAACAGTATTGATGCAACACTTTTAATCTTTTCCTCCCTGACTTTTGTATTATTTTTATATAATGATGATCAAATTATTTAATGTGGGATGCATGTACAAATAAAGGTTTTGCTACATGTGTTTTTGAGATAAGAGTGTTGGGGTTATTAACACAATATTATTTATGTTATTCGACTAGTAGATTCGTTATGTACCTATAACTACATTAGCTGCCAGGAAATCCATGTTAGCTAATAGCTAAATGTGGCAACTTGTGCATTTTTTAACGCATGCTACCTAACAAACACCAAAAACAAAACCAAACTAAAGGAAACTTCTCCTGGCCCTTCACCTTGATACACACCTTATCATACCAGTGCTCTCATAACACCTGTCGACCTTTCCCCCATACTGACCATAAATACCCACGCGCTATAAAACAATGAAACGGTGGTTAGCAACTGTAATTAAAAGCTAATTCTGTAATTAGCTTGCTGATTAGCCAGTAAGCCCCTCCTACTGTGGACTCTGTATGTGTGGTAGCTGTGGACTGCAAACCAAAGTCCTGGGATTGCAGGGGAATATTTAAAGACACACACACACACACACACACACA